TTTGGGTTTGTGTGTTTGTAGATGGCCCGGTTGCACATACATGCATGCAAGTGTGTTGATCCCATGATCTATCGTTCATACATGCATCAAGTTTCATTCTACAGTAAACTAAAATAAAATCCATCTACGTACATATACCCATACCCTTATTGATGCCCTCAATCTCTGTGCGCTAACCAATAAAATGTTTAGAGCGAGATATACGCCGGCGACTTTCAATACTTGATGGGCATGCGTATTTTCAAACAAGCTCTAGTTGAAGATATGCGCTGAAGATATGTTGTGTGACGACTTTCCTGCCATGCACATGCATGCTGTAGTTGCTACTTAGGTTGATACCATGCATGGGAACGTATAGCAGATGCATATTCATTGGAGAGCAGGAAAAGTCAACTATAAATGTTCCATAGCTAGCTTTAGCTCATACATGCATAGTCGTTGGTGTGGACACGTATCCAGGCCGGCACTGCTTTTTGTATAGAAAAATGTTCAACATGTATTTGGCATTTCGAATAAATGTTCATCATGTATTTAAAAAATTCAATGTGTATAAAAAAAAGATCATCGTGTATACTAAAACAGTTCAATGTGTAGTAAAAAAAAGTAGACATGTATTTTTTTAAAGTCAAAAGAAAAACTGATAAAGAAATATGGAAAAGGAAAAAACATCGTGGAATCGTCCCAAAACTGAAAAAAATGATAGAAGGTTTCATGAACCCGTCCATAGATGCTTCAAAAAACCACAAAACCTCTAACTAACACAATTATTTGGCCAGTCCACCATGTCGATCTTCATAGGCGAGCACAAGTTATGTCTCAAAATAAGAACTTTTAGTATTTGCAGTAGGAGAGCCCCAGGAGCAGATGGACTCATGGCCTAGCATTGTAGTCATCATTTCCTGGCGCAATCGGATGTACATGAAGGCCAAGGCCTAGTGCCCCAGCTGGCACTAGTGCCATACAACTGACACATTCCCTGTAAAAACGGTATTACCCAAGTTATCATTGAGGTACTACTTCTCCATCAGTAGTCATGCCACAAGACTATCCAGATTCTGGAATGTGCACGCTTGCTTGGCTAGAAGAGCCTGATTATAAGTTCTCATGTCTCTAAAACCCATGCCTCCCATAGTTTTTGGAAGGAAGCAAGCTAGCCCTTCTTTCCTTTAACCTCCCCCACTCCCCACATGTAGGATCTTAGCCTGCACAAAACCTTGCAAGCAATGGAGAGCGCTGCAACACGATGATGTCACTGTGACTTGTGAGACCCTGGCATGCCATGCAAAGAGTGTCAAATCCCAAAATATTTTGATGCAAATGCTTCCATAATGACGGTGGGAACTCTATGATGGCCCTAGTATTTCCTTTGTTGAGTATATGGGCAGTTCTTCCATTTTAAGTGCATGCAATCTTGGTCTCCAGACGTGTTAGAATAGCGCATCAGGGGCAAAGTCGTCTTCATATAGATCAACATGCCCATATGACTAGCGCCGATTCAACGCTTAATATCCCAACATGAAGTTGAGAACATGCTCCTCTACACGCTTTATTTCTTCAAGAATCGCCATCATCGCCTCCGTTTGATACCCATCTTCCTCATCTAATGAAGGAAAATCCATGAATTCAACCTAGAAGTACACCTCATCAGAATCCATTGTGTTTGAGTCAAAGAAAAAAAACACAACGCCAAGTAATTTCATTTTGGCATTTGACCGACTAGTTGTCGTGCACGGCCTCCGCAATGGATGCTGACGACAGTGGCGGAGGGGTACACGTGCTATGGCCGAATCTAGCGGACTGCGGTGGCGGCATAGGCCTAAGGGAGCAAACACATGGGTAGAGCGGTACAAGTCTGTCAAGGCATGGTCAGTGTCGGGTGGTGGGCTACTGGGGCGACGCCATTGTCCAAGATTAAAAACCAAATACTCATACTTCAAGGGTTATATGCATCCCTAGTTGGTGCAGAGGCCAGGGAAGTGAAATTCTCCCCCAATTTAATGACCTTCCGTGTGTTCATTAGGCATGAATTTCTTATATTGATCTGCCCCCATGTCGCCCCCGTTAGGCGACTCGGGCAATACCCAACAAACCTAGCCGCCGGGGGTGGCGGAGGATTTCCTCTCTCCTGCGTCTCAGGGGTGGTGCAACGCTACTAGGCGTGAGGTGGCGCGGGCGATCTAGTTTTTGCGACGCCCCGAAGATGGCTGGAGCAGGTGGCGGCAATGGCCGACCCTCCCTCAGGCGGCGGCTATAGGGCGGCGGGCGCAGCAGCAGGCTCTTTCGGGCGGCAGCAGCGGCTGCAGTCGGAAGTGGTGGCTGGCTTGGCTGCGGTGGTGCGCAATCTGCATTCGGATCAGGGGCGGTGGCATGGAGGGCCTGGTGGTCTCGGTGGTGGCACCACCGGTCAGATCTGGTCTGGCCGGTGCAGCCAGCGATGGTTCTCATCTCTTTCATCGGAGGTGGTCAGTCTGAGGCTGGGTGTTCGGATCTCGGGATCCGTCATCTAGTTCCAGCTGTGAGTCGGGGAGAATAGTTGCCGGTGAAAACCGAGCCGATGGCGGCATTCTGTGTCGTTACCTTAATGAAGGCATCATTGGGGTAACTACTGTCAACCCACTCGTGTTGCTCCGGGGGAAACCCTTGGATCTGGTCTTTCAGATTCGACGATGGCGGCACTGTGGTGTGGTTTCTCTTGATGGAGCATCGTTTGTGGAGCAGCGCTGGAAGACAGAGGCATGCAGAGGAGTGGGTTCGTCTTGCAAGAAGCTTCGGTGGAGATGTCAAGCCAAGCCTGGTCGATAGGTGCTACGCTTTGTCATGCCTGTTCGGTAAGTGCTATGCACGACAGATCTTCCAGAGACTTCAAGCTGTGTCGGCTGGTGGTACTTGGCAGCATGGTGCTGAGGTGTACCGGTGGCGACCGCGACGCGCTTAGCATTTCGCGCACAGGGAGGTGGTGCCGTTGGGCGCTGTGGTGGCGTCGACGGGTGGCCGGACTGGCAAGCATAATGCGGATCTCTTTCCCGAAGATGGGTCAGCGGGACGATGATGATGGCGCCTTCTAAACCGTATGTGTCATGATACGTTATGTGGATGGATCGATGATGACACTGATTTTAGATATAGGGAGTCAGAGCACCCACATTGTCGAGTTTGTAGGTGTGAGTGGTGGCGCCGGGTGGCTTGATGTAAGTTTTTGTCAGGCCTGTTTGAATAATTAATAAAGAAGGATGCATGCATCGATTGATGCAGAGGCCGGGAACTTTAACCTCCTTTTCAAAAAAAAAAAACAGATCAATTTAATACCACTCCCTCCGTTTAAAAATAGATGACTCAACTTTGTACTTACTTTAGTACAAAGTTACTACAAAGTTGGGTCATCTATTTTGGAACAGAGGGAGTACTACACAATAAATTCTGTAGTAATTTGTACCGTAAAAATTTCCTCTATTTTTGTCATGTATCTCTTATGTACCGAGGATATTGTGCAAGAGAGGACCCCAATTAAGGGGCTGGAGTCAGTATATATTGTAGATATTTGTCTCCAATATTTTTATTTCTGTAATTACAAACAAGTAAACCTTATAAATACATAAGAGTTCTATAATTAATAAATGAACAACTTTAAAACACAATATGCATGGGAAATGTTAATGTTGTATAATGAAAATACTATCATGAGATTTTTTGTAATTTTTTTAATATCGCGATCTGGTAAACTTGATTAACATATTCATATGAAAAACAACTATTGAGATTGTCCGTTGAAGGCCATACACATTCCTAAAAGATATCTACTTCCAAACGAGGTGAGCATATGATTTGGCAAAAAGGTATCTCGTCTGGTACTTGACATAAGTTTCGTATGAATTTAAAGGATAGACATTGTCCTTCGAAATTATTACATGGATAATAGTTACTTCGTCCAAAAGGGCTACGTGAGATATTTTTCTACATAATTTCCTTCTTTCAAACTTAGTAATCCCCATCGAAAGGATCCAAAAATTACATGCTAATAAAAATATATGATGCTCAAGATAAATAAATAAATAAGCATATGTTTGAAACACGCATTCGTATGTACCGATATATTTGGATCATATGATTGGTAGTTATTCATAAATTTAGATGTATGGGTACTCCAACCAGTTAATTGCTTCTTCCTTCAGGGATTTATCTAGCTAGACGATGCTAAATGACTTTCAATAGAACACTACATTCATGTGTGTTATAGAACACATTTGGAGTTAAAACAGGTATTGTGATGTTTGCGGGGCCAAATTTTACTTTATGGACACTATGAACGGTTTTAGCTTGACCTATTGCACGAGACCCAACTGTCAAAAGCGATCTGGTCAGCCTATTCTAGTTTAGCGTGAAATTGTGAAGTTAAAATTTGATTCAAATTATCACAATGACAAAATTTAGGTCAAAGTGTTGCAACATCACAGAGACCTGGTTCAAATAAATTTTACTCGCTTTACCCCGCAAAAGATTTATAGTTCAGTTTATCGATCCCATGATTACGTTATCCAAAGTATTGTTCCGTTTCGCAGATGCATGGTTCTTTGTGGTTCTGCTTAAGCTTAACAAAAAGAAAACCATGCCAAGCGAGTTGCTGCGGTTGGACCTCGCAAAAGCAAAGAATAGAGGCCATGATCAGATAGAAGACGTGGATCTGATCATAATTCATGCAATAATATGTGCATACAAGCTGGCAATATATCACGGGTTCAGTTAACACAAGTTGAATCATTTTATTCCACGTACGTGTACAAGTATGTATATCATTTTACAAATATGCAAACCATGCATTTAGATGATATCATATCGAAATGCAGTGATCAACGAGAGTATCTTATAAATGACGAGTGTGATGACGACCAACTGGAAGAGGAAACAAAATATGTAACTGCATGCGTATGACATGCAAACCAGTGACGAGTGTGACCACGACGATGCATGGTTTGTGATGCATCGATCGATGGATGATGGGTGGATCAGCTGGGGCAGGTGAAGTCGGCGGGGCAAGTCTTGCCGCACTGGTTGAGGAGGAGCACGAGGTCGACAGGGACGTTGAGCTTGATGCCGAGGACGTTGGCGTTGATGGCGGTGCAGAGACAGACGGCGGCGTCGAGGTCGGCAAGCCCGCTCAGCAGGGGGCAGCAGTCCTCGCTTGCCGGCACGCCGAGGTTGAGCTTTAGCAGGTTCAGTACGTTGGCGCACGCCTTCAGCTTCAGCGTGTTGATCGAGCAGGTGCCGCTGCCGCCTCCGGTCGTCGGCGGGGTTGGGACTGGGATGACGGGCGGGGGCATGGCCATCGGCGGGGTTGGCACTGGGATGGCCGGTGTGTTGCCGCAGTACGACCCGCAGCCATGCGCGGCTGCCATGAGGACCAGGTTCAGGGCGAGGAAGAGGGCGACCTTGGAGGGCGCCATTGCTATGCTGATGAAACAAGTAGCCAGCAAGAGTGTACTGGGTTGTGGCTGAGCTAGGTGGGCTTGCTAGCTTGTGATGCTTTTCTTTGGTTGCTTGGGGTGGTATTTATAGGCCGGGATGTAGTGTGCATTTGTGCAACAAGTGCAAGCACGTCATGATATATCGAGTTTGACTCTTGCCGTAATTTGCGAAAAATATATACCACCACTAGTGTGCCATTATTGGAGCTTAACTTGTTTGCTAACGAGCAAAACCCTTAGACCTGCGCCATGAGATATGTTTGATGGGTTTGCAAATTTAGCTGTAATCTTGAGGGCATACATAGGATAGGACAAAGGAATATATATGCATGGCAGCGCTACGAGCTGGCACATAACCTGATCTTCAGGGTCACGGGAGGAAAATATAGGAGATTACATGTGGCCATGCATGCACATGCAAGCTACTACCAGCGCAGAGATGTCTAGTATACGTTTCGTACTTTGGTTTATTATATACTGGCTCGTTGGCATGGACACATACGCTACAACTAGCTGTCTAATTATTAGTTAATTGTCCCCTCTGGGCAGTGGTTGTGCTGGCAAATAATTTCAATATTGACAAGGGAATTACACTGCTGTAGTAGCTAGTTTACAATATAGCTGCAAAAAAAAACTAGCTTACAATATTTATGTGATAGAGCTAGGCCGCTGTGTGAACAAGTGCGCATGAAGAAATTACTAATTTTCTATTTTTCAATTATCTATAATATATTTATATTTCACTTGTCTTTCAATCTTCGGATCAACACCTACACTTATCGTAGTTTCTGGAAAATCGCGCACTCTCAGTACTAAGCTTTTATGTTAGGTAATAGTATGCCATTTTAGGTAATCAATACCTTAAAGTATTAGACAACTTGAGATTTACTAAAAGTGAAATCATATGCTCTCTATCCACGGAAATGTTGTATTACGTTGTTGAGCTTCTAGTCTAGGTAAAATAACTGAGTGTACTATTTGTTGTATGCAAAGATCCACACTGCGTTTAGTCTGTAGCAAACTGATTAATTACTAGTTTATGCAAGGATGAATATGTAGCTCATGAATTTCTAGTGTATGCAAGGCTGAATGAGTCATCCTATTAAACGTTATATGTGAAGGAAGAAGGATAGTGGGCATTGCGCCTTGGCAGATCTATTTTTTTTCCTGGGGAAGCCTTGACAGATACTTAATGCTTAATAGTGCAGCATATCTACTAATATTTTATTTGTGGAAAGTATGTTTTTTATTTAATATGTTTCAGAAACAGATGTTAATGTTAGTTTGAAAGTGAGCCTTAGTTGAGCTGAGCACGTGGCCGATTAATGCAAATTAAATGTGAAGAAAGTAAAACATAAAAAAAGAAAAATTTTTAAAAGGACAAAATAAGACAAAGGAAAACACGAAAAATGGCACCCAAACATCAGACACATATTGCGCCCTTCGGGCAGTACATCCGCTATCCTTCACATGAAGTCGTAGAAACTAAAGAACAACCTAATTTTAAACGAACATGTTTGAGCAGGGAAAGGGGTTGCGCAAGACAACCAGGATAATAAAGGACTTTTTACTTTACTCGGGGGAAATCTGCAAGACTTACATTCTCTTTGTTTTCTCCCCTTGGATGCATTCCGATCTTCTTCCAACATTAGACTGGGATTTTATCACTTCTTCCTGCCTTGTAGCCACAACAATTATATATATTACAAAAATAACAATGATTTTAGAGTAGGATTTTCCATGATGATTTTTTTACATGCATTCAGGCAAGAATACCAATATTATTTTGTAGATAATTAATGAATGCCCAGCCTAAGTCGTGGAGGCCAATGTAAAATTGCAATCCCACGCATCATCTAAAACCGGCCAAGTGGTGAGCTCAACTCAAGATCACTTTCGGCCCACTTCATCTAGCAATTTGAATTGCACAAACCAGTTTGACCCATACACAAGAAGGAAAAGGCGCTATGTGATACAATAGAACACTCTCCTGCCTAAGATCGCACCAAGACATAAGCAGATTCCACTTCTTTTGCAATGACTTTGATGCAAAATAATGAAACTCTAAACATTTACTATTCTTCGAGAAGTTCTGGGTCCGTAACTGCATGTAAGGATATATAAGATGAACTGCCCGGCCGATAGAAAGATCGCAGCTCCATGATGTCGTATTACAGCTCCATTGTCATATATCCGCACGCCGTTGGCGATAAAGCTATTGCCAATACTAAATTAATTCATCCTTGATCCGAGTTATTTGTTTTTCTCTTCCTATGATCCATATAAAACTTAGAGTTGACTTTGATCTAGGTGCATGTACTCCATCCCTTTCATAATATAGTGTGTATAGATTTTCTAAAACTCAAAGATTGCAAACTTTTAGCAAGTTTATAGAGAACTATTTATATATACCATACCAAATATATAAAATATGAAACTAAATCTTACGACGAATCTAATGATATATGTTGGCATTCCAGATGTAAATATGTTTCCTAGTTTGTGAGATTTGACTTGTCAAAAAGTTATATGCCTCTTTGATCTTAAACATAAGAATGCTGGTTTTATATTATGGAACGGAGGGAGTATATGTTTTAGGAGTGGATTATGACGCATCAGAATATGTATAACACACAGATCGAGTTAACACTACTCCAACGACGCACGCTTCTACCCCGCAGCCCCCGCGTCGTCCGCTCGGGCGACTCGGGAGGCGACTAGGGTTTCCGCCCAGCGTCGCCACCCCTCACCTTCGTCCCCCTCATCGCCACCCGAGGTGGCCGCCGGCAAGCCTGCGCAGTCGCCGGTGACGGTGGCGGCGAGGCCCTGCTCGCTCTGTTCCTGACGGAGGACTCCGGATCTGGGGCGGCGGCCCTTGGCGCGGCAGCAGCGTCCGTGGGTGGTCCTGGCCGGCGTTCCCGACCACGCGGGTGGTGGGACGGTGGCGGGCGATGGCTGCGGCGTGGGATCCCCCTCTTCGCCAGATCTAAGGTCGACTCCCCTTCCCTTCAGCTCCCTCATCCCCGCCGGTTCCAGCAGCTTCGGTCACCGGAACGGTGTGGATGGGTGCCCGGTAGTGTGGTTTTGGATCGTGGGAAACCATTGGTCGGCTGGTCCGGCCCGGTGGCTGCGACGTTCTTGGGCGCCGCCCTTCCTCCTTGGAGGTGCAGCTGAGGTCCCAACCCCATCCACCCCCGTTCCCCTCCCGTGTAAAAGCCCAAAATCCTTCTTGGATTGGGCGGTGACGGCACGCTGCGCGTCGTGTCCTCCTTGGAGGCGCCGCCTGGGGAGCGTGCGTTCGGGTGAGGGGCAGCAAAGGTGGAGTTTTGGGCGGATCTGGGTATCAGGTGGCTGTGGTTGGTCTGGCTCGCAGGGAAGTATGTCCCTGCTCCCCTCAAGTGTGGTGCTCCTTGGCGGTGGCGTGTTTGGCTCAGCTCCGGCGGTACGACGTCTGCGATCCGGCGGTAGGGGATAGGGTTCCTCTTCCTGGTAGTAGCAGCTCGTCCCTGGCCGTGGACGCCCGGTGTTTCTCTTCAGCTGCCGACGACTCTTGCTCCTCGTCGTTCTGCAGCCTCTCCTGATGTCCTTGCTACTCGTTCTTCAGTGGCTCCTCCCGGTGGCTTTCCCGCTGTTTTTAGGTGTCCTAGGTTGCATCGGTGTGTCAGATGAGGTGTGCTCATGTTCTAGGCGGTTGTGCTCTGTGCCTGTTCCAGGACTCGAGGTCGGCATCTCTCCTGCTTTAGGGTGAGCGTCTCTCATGTCCGTCGGCGGCGCCTTTCGATCCAAGGCGAGAGGGTAGGGTCCCTCTACGGTGAGAGCGAAGGAAGAAGCTTGGATTCCTCCATCCTTGGACTTGGTCATGTCCATAACTCCACTATGTTTCTGCAGATCCTCGTTGTGCTCATGCTGCTCGCAACTCTTGGTTCTTGTTTGCTGCGGTCGGCGGCATGTACTAGCTTGGGCTTCCTCTTCTTTATGTTTTGAGCTAGTATTCTTCGTTGAGTTGTAAGCCTCCTAGGGTGCTCCCTTGTATCGTTCGGCCGATGTGCTTGTTGTTGTGTTGTAATTCCTGGCCGGTTGATGGCTTTGTTAATTCAAAGCCGGGCTCATCGCGAGCCTTCGTTCTAAAAAAACATATTTCAGATGATACAAGCTAGGGGCATATAGCCGGTTCAGTATTTCACATGATGATACAAACCGCCGATTATGTGGGTCATTTATTTGGACACCACAACATGACACACTTTCAAAGTGATCACTGCATGCATGCATAACGCGAATGCATGACACCGAACTTAGACATGCATGAGCCATATAGATGAACTGAAACACAAACTGAAGGAGTAGTATATACTTAGGAAGGTGCATGCATGTCATGTGTATACATCATCGATATGGATCTTGAGGTTGATGACACCGAGGACCTTGGCCCTGATGGTGGTGCAGAGGCACACCGTGGCGTCCAGGTCGGCCAGCAGCGGGCATCAGGGCTCGCTGGGCGGCATGCCGAGCCCGAGCTTTAGCAGGTTCAGCACGTTGTCACACACGCCCAGCTTCAGCGTGTCGATCGGGCACGAGCCGTTGGTCGTCGACGGTGGCGGCGGGGTCGGGCAGTGGGGTCCGCAACCGCTGTGCGCAGCGGCGACCATCAGGTTCAGACCGAGGAGCAGGAGGAAGAGCTTGGTCGATGGCGCCATGGCGAAAGCTTTGGTCGAGAGGAAGCAAGGCTTACAATAGATAGCAAGGGTTTGTAGGTGTTTTGGGTTTGTGTGTTTGTAGATGGCCCGGTTGCACATACATGCATGCAAGTGTGTTGATCCCATGATCTATCGTTCATACATGCATCAAGTTTCATTCTACAGCTTAACTTAAACTAAAATAAAATCCATCTA